TCATTTATCAAAAAAATCAAAGGAGACAAAATAGACAATTACCTATTTGAGACTTTATATATATATAATTCCTGTTTTAAAAGGCAGAGTATGTGAAAAAACGTTTTATATAATACCAGTTGAGGTGTAAATTTTACGAATTTAAGGGGCTTACTCTCATTTATATTCAATTTCATAGTTTTATTATCAATAAAATAAGGAATAGTAAACTTATCAATGCTTTGTGATTTTATTTGAGATAACAAATAATCAATAATGAAGAAAAAAAATATTATAATTCTATTTAAGAAATATTATTATACCAATAATAAAAATATAATTTAAATAAAAAGAGGTTCAAAAAAGTAAATTAAAGACACCTGAGCGTATGTTTTTATGCCCACATTTTTATGCTCGATACTTACGCCTTAAATTTTAAGACTTATACTTTATGTATTTACATCTTTAATTTACGATTCAAAATATTTTTGATACGTTCACCTTAAGACTCGTTTCAAAAATATTTTTGAAAACACTATATATAACATTATTTTAATGTCGATTCTGCTGTTTTAATAATTTTATTAATCGACGTTGATACACATAAAAAATGCATTTAGCAGACAGCTAAGCAAAAGTCAATTGCGCTGCTAATAAGCTAATATGAGCTTTGGAATATTTGCTAATTGCAGTCAACCTGCTTAATTTAAAAATGAAAATTGATTACCTCACACACGTGGCGGAGCTACGCGTATCCAAGAGTGACATTTCGTTAAAAAAATTTCATCACTAATTTTTATATATTTCAAATATTTCTTAGTAAAAGTTTAATTTCATCACTCTAATTGCTTAGCAAATAAAAAATTATTTTCTATTATATTCTTAAATTTCTGGTTCAGCAATAAATTTATTTATTACATATAAAATACTTTCAAAGAATTCAAATATTATAAATTTTTTAATTTTTATAAAATAATTTCTCATTAAATTAATTTTACTAATTATTATTTTATATATTTTTCTTTTAGTTTTATTAATATAACTTTAGACTTTTCAAGTTTACCGAATTTGAAATAATAAATAAAAGCAATAAAAATTTTGAAAATCGAATAACACCACTTTAATAAATAAAAGTACATGAATCACGAAATTGTTACTCTAAAGTACAAGTAATTATTTCGGATTTATTTGAAAAAAATAAGAAAGGGAAATAGATTTATTACTTACCTGGTAAATTGGAGTATATTATTCCAAAAAGCGATACCCTATAGTAAGTTGACACGTTTCAGATGAAGGAAAATGCGATGTATGTGATTACTGTCTCCAATGCTTTTACTGCACTTGATTCCTCTTGTGCTGACTCGCTTGGAGAAAACGAACAAACACACACAACTGAAATTGCGGGAAGGGACAAAAATAAGAGGAATCCGCCATGTCATCACATATCTCCGGCACCAGCGCTGCCATGACTCCGCCGTTGGACCGTAGCGGAGACTTCGAGGTTGCTACTGAAGAATCCGGAGACTACGTTATTGGTTTGGAGTCGGGGACGTCTGAAGCTCAGTTCATCGGAGAAAATGGACCGATTCTCCCTCCACCAGAACGTATGGTAGCGGAGGAAGGTTTTGCCCTGAGAGAGTGGCGACGGTGAGGTTTAATCTTTTTTTTTTCGTTTCTCGGTTTTAAATTCTCTGCATGCAAAGACATATATGTATTATATTCGTATAACATGATTTGATTGACTAAAATTGATAAATTCCGTAATGGATTTTTGTGATAATCATGTTTGTTTAGGGTAATAAGAAACGGTAGCTACTGATTTTTGCAAATAGCTATTTTAGTCAACTCTAGTAGTTTTTTCTTTCAGTTTAATTTATTGTTTGTCTATCAAAGTATTTGATCATGGAGAGGAGCCTTGACGCAACAGTAAAAGTTGTTGATTGATGATGATGAGGTCGCGGTTTGGAGCCATGGAAATAGACTCGTGTAAGGCTATGTACAGTAAACCTAATGTCCTGCCCTTTCTGGGCCTGGGCAGCGGGAGCTTAGTGCAATTGCTGCTGGTATTATGAATCTTAGTGCATCGACAAATTCAATTCACTTTTTTGGTTCTCTGATTTTAAACTTATGATAAGTGCTTACAATGTTTATTGCCAAGTGAATAAGTGCTGCCTTTATCATTTTATTTTTCCGGAGAAGATAGTTTCTAGTATTCCTTCCGTTTACTTTTACTTATCCATTTTGGACTTTTCAAATCCATTAAGAAACAATAATTGATATGAGAATTTTACTATAATACTCGTATTAATTGATATTTAGTATAAGGTTTTGGGGAATAAGAACTTAATGCTGAGGTTTAACATAGAAAAAAATAATTATCTTTTCTTGATAGGTTAAAACTGACGAGTATAATTGAAAATCTATTTTTTGAATAGTGAACAAGTAAAAGTAAACGGAGGGAATAGTTTATAATACCCATGAACTTGATAGTAGTTTATAAAACCTATGAGAAGTTCAATCCTCAATTTTGTTTGTTTCTCTTTTGTCTGAAAATAATGTTTTATTCTACATTTTGTCAATTACTTATTTAACATAGAATCAGAGTTTTCCGATCCATTCACTTGTTAAAAAATAGATTCTGATTTACCTCCAACGCATGTAATTTCTTTACCTTGACCAATTAGTTGGGGAAAGTGAATTGAATTTTGATATAGTCAACTCCTAAGATAAATTCTTAAAAAAGAAAATTCTCCTAAATACATTTGGGAGATTTTTGATACTTAAGTGATAAATGAGTTCCTGATGACATGGTCTTGCAATGTGGTAGTCAATAGGGGATCCATAAATTTAAGTTGGTTGGTGGTCCGAAGATAAATTCATCGAAGAAAATTCTGTTAAAACTTTTGAGGAGGCCTGTGATTACTTATTGATGATCGAGTTGTTTATGAAATAATCTTGCCATCTCATAGCTTATAGGTAGCTGGTTCAAATAAGATAGTGTCTGTGGAGTACCCACTACTTAACTTTGACAATAGGTTCTAACTTGACGTAGATTTACATTTTTAAAAAAGAAATAATCTTGCCATCTCATAGCTTATAGGTAGCTGGTTCAAATAAGATAGTGTCTGTGGAGTACCCACTACTTAACTTTGACAATAGGTTCTAACTTAACATAGATTTACATTTTAAAAAAAAATTCACTATATATTTGCTGGTAGCACCCTCTTCCTTAAACATTTCAGTCCATGGTGGCAGTTGACTTGAGTTTACCTTTTAATCCCTGAAGGAAATTTTGCGATTCTTTTTACCCTTTAAAATCTCTGAAGCTGATACAAAGTTGAATACCGACTAGTTCATTGTTAATATGCAGTGTACATATGTGTTTGTGCATTGTACAAAGCTTCTTTACTGGTGTGTAAATCCGATGCTTTTCTTGTTAACAGCATGAAAAGATAGTGTTTATTGTGCAATCTGAAGCTTAACACATAATTCTCTATTTGAGCCTATCTCAGCTTATGCCTATGAGCTTCTTTTTCCTGTAGTTATCAAGTAATTGTTAGCGCATACCTATAATACATTAAAACTCACCATTTCCAATTTACTTTTGTCTAGTGACATTCTAATTCGCATACTATCTTATTCCTTTGTTGTATGCTTGTGAAATGAAATTAAAAGTTACTTTTTTGGATCTTCTCAGCTGAGAGGTGTAATATTTGTTCCATTTTCCAGATTGAACGCCATACGGCTGGAGGAAAAGGAGAAAAGGGAGAAAGAAATTGTTAGGGAAATAATTGAAGAAGCAGAGGAATACAAAGCAGAGTACTATAGGAAATGGAAACTTAGATGTGAGAACAATGTAGCTGCTAACCGGGAGAAGGAGAAGGTGACACCTATAGATATATAAATTAAAAGTCTTTCCAAGGCATTTTGCTTAGAGTCACGGTTTGTTAACTAGTTTGGCATAAATTTGCTTGTGCTGTGTGTTTGTTTTCCAAACAGTTGCTTTAGCTGGAAGGAATCTTATCACTGGTCTGACATGTCGTGCATCTAGTTACCTTCTCTTCCTAATCATTGCTTTCAACTCTTCGGAATAGGATATTGAGTGTTGAAACAGGGAGATTAACGTAGTTAACCTAGTAGAAGTACCATCCCATTTTTAATCTTGGTACTTGCTACTCTCCTTTTTAAGGTATTAGTTTTTAAAAAATCATCGCATTGGTAGTTACGACTCAACCAAGGCAGGGACTCAGAGAAAAGCAGTTTCTACATTTATCTGTTTAAATTTCATATGATTTAGCGATAACATTGCGTAGGAGGTGTAAAATTAAAAATGTTGAAAGTGGAAGTTTTCCACAAGAGATCAAAATGTGCTGATAACCTTTTGAACAATCTATGCTGAGTTTTTGTGCTTTGGTGAGTTTTATTTGCTAATCTCCACAGATATGTCTTTGGTTTTATGGTTTGTCGAATCTTTAGACATAGTTCCACAGTACGGCAAGTTCCTCCTTAGTCAATCAATGTGTTGCAGTTCATGTGTCATCTTTTTCTTTTTCCAGTTATTCTTGGCCAACCAAGAGAAGTTCCATACTGAAGCTAATAAGGCTTATTGGAGGGCAATCGGAGAGCTTATTCCAAAGGAGGTCCCGACCATAGAAAAGAAAGGAAAGAAGGATAAGGAGAAGCAGCCATTCATCAATGTCATTCAAGGACCCAAACCTGGCAGGCCAACTGAACTCTCTAGAATGCGTCAAATACTTGTGAAACTCAAACACAACCCGCCTGAGCATATGAAGCCTTCTGCAAAACCATCTTTGGAACCAAGAAAAGATGCAAAGACAGGAACAGAAACTTCTGTTACTGCCTCTGCAAAGCCTCAAGCTACTACTGCTGCACCTTGAAGGTTTATCCTCTGCTGCACAATGAAAATGCTACTATGTTGATCTCGTAAAGCAGTCGTCCTTTACGTTAACTTAAATGTTATGAGTTTGAGAACAACTCCTATCAGAAAGTCTTTACCTTCATTTCTAGTTTTAGGAGCTAATATGTGCATAGAGAAAAGTTTCTATCCTGTTCTGTGTTCATAGTCTCTGCTGTAAACTTCATCTTCATATCTGAAATTTGGAGTTGCATAGTAGCTCATTGTGTGTGATTGTCTCTCTTTCTTCCTTATCAGCTACTGCCAACTTTACATTACATGAGAAAATGTATGAAAAAGGAAGTCTAATGAGAGACGATACATTTACTCCTCAATAGCCCACGTTAGAGGAATAACATTATCTAGGAAGCATTTGGGTGACGTTCTGAAAGCTCTCAAACTTTGTTGATGTTACAAAAGGATTTACAGATTGTACCCCATTCTTCCCCGCGGAGGATGATTTCTGCAGACTACCACTATGTGGTCTATAAACTCCTGGTTCAGTTAACAACTTCTCGTTGAGGTTGACTTCCTTGGACAACATCTCAATCACTTGTTTCATATTAGGTCTTTGGTTAGGTGCTGATTGTATGCAAAAGAGAGCAACTTTGATGAACCGCAGTAATTCAGTTTCTGGATACTCTGTTAGCTCTGGATCAATGATTTCCAGAACTCGTCCTTCTTCTCTTAGCTTCCATACCTGCAACGCGTAAACCTTCAAAATGCTGATTACTAATGAATCTTCAATATCATAAATCTGAAAGTATAGTCCTACCCATTCCACCAGAACCAAGAGATCCACTCCAAATGCTGATTTACTACTCCTTCTTCCACTTATGATTTCAAGTACAACTCCAAAACTATAGACGTCAGCCTTTTTAGTGAGTTGTCCAAACAAGACATACTCCGGAGCAAGATAACCTCTGGACATCAGAATACCTTGCTGAGAGGAGACAGGGGAGGAACATCGAATGTTATGAAACTGAAATTCGATGTAACTACTCACATTGTTCCTGCTACTCGCGTACTTAGATGAGTGACATTTTCAGGAAAAAGCTTAGCCAGACCAAAATCTCCAATTTTAGGATGAAGGTTTTCATCTATAAGGATGTTACTAGCCTTAATATCTCGATGAACAATCGTTGGTGAGGCTTCTTCATGAAGAAATGCTAAACCAGATGCTGTACCTAAACATATAGCAACTCTCTGAGGCCAGTTCAGAGCAACGCGTTTACCATTAGAACCTGAAATAACAATTTTAACCCGTCCAGATTCAGTTCAATGCGCTCATTTAACATTCCTAACTTCAAACTATGACATGTTCATTTGAGAACATTACCTAGTAAAGCACTGGCAAGGCTGTTATTCTTCAAATATTCATATATCAACATTCTATTGCCACTCTCAACACAACAACCAATCAACTGAACAAGATTTGGATGTTGGGTATTTGAAATCATATTAATCTCTGTCAGGAATTCTTTAGTACCTTGTTTTGATTCAGCAGAGAGACATTTAATGGCAATACAAGTTCCATCTCTTAAAACTCCCTACATTTAAAGAACAAAGTTGCGTAAATACAGCGAGTGGAAATACATAAAAGATTCAACCAATGTAGCAGGTAATTTACCTTATTTTACTTTTTTTATGATGATAGTGTTCATATCAGCTTACATGTACATCGACTATTTCACCAGTACTCTACCCACCAAAGCTTAGTTACATTGGATGGTATTTATCTAAGCAGGGCCAACTCAACAACATTTTGGGGCCTAAAGCGAAATTTAAGAGAGGGGCCCTAATGTATTATTTTCATCATATGTACTTTTATTTAAAATATATTTTTCTAGTTATTTTAGATGTAAAGTCATTAAGTATTGTTTTATAATCAATTTGCTTTAATAATTCCTTTTCAAATGATAATATAGCTAATTCATTCAATATATCTTTGAGACATTGTTGATCTATAAGAAGATCTAATCAATTTTAATCTCGAAAAAAAAAATTGGTTGAGGCAACGGTTAAAGAAACTGTTAACATTCATCCTATAAACAATATGTATATTTTGGAAAAGAATCAAGTCTTTTTATTTGATTAAGTATTTACGTTACATCATTATCTTCTACTTGTATTATTTCTCTTTAACACTTTCAATTCAAAAAATAAATCTAAATCATCAATATCAAAATAACTATTATGTGTTAAAGAAAGTTCAAGGTTAAGATAATATTTTTTCAAAAAAAAATCATCATCTAGTAATCTCAATATGTTACCACTAAATAAGAAATTTTTAAAAAAATAACTTTTATATGCTTCAATTAGTTCAAATTTATTTTGAAGTGAAAAATAGTTTGATCTACTCGACATATATAAAATAATCAACTCTAAAGATTCTTCAAGGAACTTAGTGATTTCGTTATTCATATTTTCATCAAATTATTTCTTACGAAAATCAAATTTATATCATGTAATATGCAAATTTTTTAGTAGAAATCATAGCACTTATGACACATATAATTTAGTTTTTTTTAAAAAATAACACATAAGTTATTGTTTTTTAAAAATGGGTCCTCCAAAAATATAGGAGCCCCAAGTGATGACTTTAGTGACCTAGGGGTTAAGACGGCCGTGTATCTAAGCTACACCCTTTTGGGGCCTCCATTGAGATTTCAACCTAAATATCTCATTAAATCATTAGGCTATATCCTTAAATGCAGGGGCGGAGCCACCTGGTACAAAGGGGTTCATCCGAATCTCTTTCGATGGAAAATTATACTATTTATATATTGTTACAATAATATTTTATGTATATATAATGGATGTCGAACCCTCTTCAACTATTTCACATGCCGATTTCTACGAATTCTGAACCCCCTTATTTAAAATCCTGACTCCGCCATTACTTAAATGCCCCCATTTTTCTACTCACTAGCAAACCCCACTTCGAATGGTTAAATTATTATAGTTATCTTTTAAGTGACCTTACTTTGTCTTTCTAAATTTTGAGCATATAGAATTTTTTATTTTCGGTAAGTAATAACTAGCATCAACAAGGACCATGAAGAGGTATGACACAAGAAACAAAAGATGATTACCTTATAAACAACTCCAAAACCACCGCCTCCTATTTTGTTAGATGGATGGAAGTGACCTGTGGCTGATCTCAATGAGTTATAGGAAAAAAGCCTCACATTGTTGGTTGTGAACTCTACGCAATGAAAAACACAAAAATAATATGAAAATTACGTGAACTACTTCTCAAAGTTGGACTAAGCGTCAAAATTTTTAAACTTTATGAATTCTAAATTTTATAAGAACGACTTTTTTTTTCAGAAATAAGAGTTAACTTACCTTGGACTTGAGTCTTTCTATTGTTTTTGTAGGATTGCACAACTCCAAAGCAATTCCAACCCATTGCTCAAATATTCAAAATTTTTAACTTTGTAGCACCTAATATTTCTACAAATTAATGAAATAGAAAAATAAAAAAAAAATAAAAATCAACTTAACAAAATGGGGTTGGCCAAGTGAACAAAAGAAGCCGCCATTGAGGTTTGACTTTTTCTCGATATTAAAATTTGATTAATTTAAATTTATATAACATAAATTTTATATAAGAGATGTACTTTTGTTAATTATTTTTTTATATCTAAAACTCAAAATTCATGCTTTTGAAAAAGTTTGCTGATCAAATTTAAACTTATATTGCATAAGCATTATATAATAGATGTACTTTTGTTAATTGTTTTTTTTTATATCTAAAATTCAAAATCCATTCTTCTGAAAAAGTTTGCCGATGTCCTTGCTGTGTGAGGTTGACTTTGTTTTATTTTGTCTTTCTTTTTGTTCCATTTTTATTTCTTAGAAATAAAAAAAAGGTAGTTAATGTGGCTGGCTTTAATTTCATTTCAATATGTTTAAGAAACTAATGCCACTTCTAAATTAGCTTTAAATTTTAATATATTTCATTTTTTTAAGTGACAATTTATTAGGAATTACATCATGACATATTTAATAAAAAATAATAAAACACAATTGGAAGATAGTTTTAATATGTTATCATTTGTGCAGTTATGCATATTTTGTTGGGTTTTAGCAAGTGTGAATGGAAAAAGAAAAGAGAAAATATCAAAAGTGAGTGAACTACTTTGGAGAGAAAATGAAAAGTCATTTGCAAAGTGCAAATGAAAAGTCATTTCTTATAAATTTGCAGGTAACGGTAACATTCCGAAAAATTGTTACTCTTTTCGAAAAGTCGTTACTTTCTAAAAAGTAGTTATTTTCCTAACAGACACAATTTATCCAGAAAGTTGTGTCTTTTGGAAAAAATGGGTCTGAACAGATTTCACTGAACAGACATGTTCCTTGCTGAAAATGACTATAAAAGGAAGTCAATTTTTGATTTTTTTTAATCATTGAAAATTTTTTCTTTCTCTGCATTTATTTTTCTCTCAAATAAAATCAAAGTGTCGATCGACTGAGTCTGTGTGACTTGTTGTTGTTCTTAAATTCGTTGAAGTTAAAGAAGTTTGAGGTACCGCTATTTCTTTAACAGGTTTAATCCATTTTATCTTGGGAGAAATTAATCCATAACCTTGGGTACAGTGAGGGGATTAAATTTCTTAAGGACACAGTAGTTTCTGTGGACTCGGATTAATTCTTGTATTCTATATTATTTTCTGCTTCATCTTATTTCTGTTTCTGTTTCTGTTTATTAACTTTATAAATACAAGTTATTGTATGAATAACAATCTTAAGAAATTTAACAGTTTCTGTATTTGAGGTTTCTGGAGAGTAAAACCTTTATGGTTTTCTACTTTGCTTGAATTTTTAAAATTCATTCGATTAACGATTAAAAGAACATAAAAACTTTATCGTTAAATCAGAAATAGTTTGTGTAAAGATTTGTTCTTTACTGTTAGTATTTTAAATACTTAATTTATCTGCCATTTGTGACAAAAAAAAAAGACTAATTCAAGTCAAACAAATGCTGGAACAGTTTGTGCTGCAACAACAACGGTTGCACATAATCGTTCAAATGCTGCCTTAGCACCGGCTGAAAAACCTGCAAAGTTTTCTGGAGTCGACTTTAAAAGATGGCAGCAAAAGATGTTCTTCTATCTCACTACGTTGAGTCTGCAGAAGTTCATCAATGAGAATGTTCCTGTTATGTCAGATGAAACTCTGGCTGATGAACGATTCTTGGTAACAGAAGCATGGACACACTCAGATTTTTTGTGTAAAAATTATATTTTGAGTGGTCTGCAAGATGATCTGTACAATGTGTACAACAATGCAAAAACCTCAAAAGAACTCTGGGATGCTTTAGAAAAGAAGTACAAAACAGAAGATGCCGGAATGAAGAAATTCATTGTGGCAAAATTTCTGGACTTTAAGATGATAGACAGTAAGACTGTCGTCACCCAAGTTCAAGAATTGCAGGTCATAATCCATGATCTCTTTGCTTGAAGGATTAATTGTGAATGATGCTTTTCAAGTGACTGCAATTATTGAAAAGTTACCTCCATTGTGGAAGGACTTTAAAAACTACTTGAAACACAAACGCAAGGAGATGACTGTTGAAGATCTCATAGTAAGGTTGAGAATCGAAGAGGATAATAAGGCTGCAGAAAAGAGGTCACGTGGTAATTCAGCAATATCTGGAGTAAATTTTGTTGAAGAAGATTCCACAAAATTAAAGAAAAGAAAGAAAGCATTTGGTCCAAAAAGCAATTCTCCTAAGAAGAAATTCAATGGAAACTGCTTTAATTGTGGTAAACATGGTCATAGGGCTAATGAATGCCGAGGTCCTAAGAAGGACAAGAAAAAAAAGGATCAAGCAAACTTGGCTGAATCCAAAGGAGAAATGGATGATCTCTGTGCAATGCTTTCAGAATGTAACTTGGTTGGAAATCCAAGAGAATGGTGGATAGATTCTGGTGCCTCATGCCATGTTTGTGCCAACAAAGAATTATTTTCATCATATACTCCAGCACTTACAGATGAAAAATTATTTATGGCAAACTCCGCTGTTGCAAAGGTGGAAGGAACTGATAAAGTCCTATTAAAGATGACATCAGACAAGGTGGTAACTTTGAATAGGGTCTCATATGTTCCAGAATTGAGAAAGAATTTAGTTTCAATTCCAGTTCTGACCAAGAATGGATTTAAATGTGTATTTGTTTCTGATAAAGTAGTAGTAAGCAAAAATGATATGTATGTAGGAAAAGGCTACCTTAGTGATGGCCTTTTCAAACTCAATGTAATTGCAGTTGATATGAATAAAGATTTTGCTTCTTCTTACTTGCTTGAGTCTAAATGTTTATGGCATGAACGTTTGGGACACGTTAATAACAAAACCTTGCGAAAACTGATTAACTTAAATATTTTGCCAAAATTTGAGTGCAATAAATCAAAATGTCAAATTTGTGTTGAATCTAAGTATGCTAAGCATTCTTATAAATCTGTTGAAAGGAATTCAAATCCTTTAGAATTGATTCACACTGATATTTGTGACATGAAGTCAACACCATCACGTGGTGGGAAAAAGTATTTCATAACTTTTATTGACGATTGCACTAGATATTGTTATGTCTATTTGCTAAATAGTAAGGATGAAGTAATAGATGCATTTAGGCAATATAAAACTGAAGTTGAAAATCAGTTAGATAAAAAGATCAAAATGATCAGAAGTGATAGAGGTGGAGAATATGAATCTCCATTTGCAGAAATTTGTTTAGAAAATGGAATAATCCATCAAACTACTGCTCCCTACACTCCTCAGTCTAATGGAATTGCAGAAAGAAAAAATCGAACTTTAAAAGAAATGATGAATGCATTACTTATAAGTTCAGGTTTACCACAGAACTTTTGGGGGGGAAGCTATCCTTACAGCAAATCAGATACTTAATAGAGTGCCTCACTCAAAGACAAATGTAATTCCATATGAGAAATGGAAAGGTAGAAAACCCAATTTGAAATATTTCAAAGTGTGGGGGTGTCTAGCCAAAGTCCAAGTTCCTATACCTAAGAGGGTAAAAATAGGACCTAAGACTGTGGATTGTGTATTCATTGGATATGCCACAAACAGTAAGGCATGTCGTTTTTTGGTTCATAAGTCAGAACATTCGGATATTTATGATAATACGGTAATGGAATCAGATAGTGCTGAATTTTTTGAACATATCTATCCGTATAAAACTAGACTTGAGTCATCTAGTGGGGGATCTAAACAACCCAGAGAAGAACCAAAAGAGAATGAACAAAATGAAGAAAGTCCAAGACGCAGTAAACGTCAAAAGACATCTACTTCATTTGGATCAGATTTTGTAACATTTCTTCTTGAAAGTGAGCCTCAAACATTCAAGGAAGCAATGTTGTCTAACGACTCAACCTCTTGGAAGAAGGCTGTTAATAGTGAAATTGAATCAATCTTAAGCAATCATACTTGGGAGTTGGTTGATCTTCCTCCAGGGAACAAACCGTTGGGTTCAAAATGGATCTTTAAAAGGAAGATGAAAGACGATGAAACTATTGACAAATATAAAGCAAGACTTGTTGTCAAAGGTTTTAGACAAAAAGAAGGTCTTGATTATTTTGACACATATTCGCCAGTGACTAGGATTACATCAATTCGGATGTTAATTGCACTAGCTGCAGTATACGGTCTTGAAATTCATCAAATGGATGTGAAAACAACCTTCTTAAATGGAGAGCTTGAAGAAGAAATTTACATAGAACAACCTGAGGGTTTTGTAGTTCCTGGTAAAGAAAAGAAAGTGTGCAAACTTATTAAGTCACTTTATGGGCTAAAACAAGCACCAAAACAATGGCATGCAAAGTTTGATCAAACCATGTTGTCAAATGGATTTAAGATCAATGAATGTGATAAATGTGTTTACATTAAAGATATTCCAAATTAGGAAGTTATTTTATGCCTATATGTAGATGATATGCTTATAATGAGCAAAGACATTGCTAATATAAAAGCTACAAAGCGTATGCTTGCTAGTAAGTTTGATATGAAAGATTTAGGAGTTGCTGATGTGATATTAGGAATTAAAATTCTTAAAACTCCTAACGGTCTAGCATTGTCTCAAACTCATTATATTCAAAAGATACTTGAAAAATTCAAATTTTTGAAATTTAAAAGGGCAAAGACTCCAATTGATGTAAATCTTCATCTTGCAAAGAATAAAGGTGAAAGTCAGTCTTAATTGGACTATGCTAGCGTATTGGGAAGCTTAATGTATGTCATGAATTGTACACGACCAGACATAGCTTGTGCTATCAGTAAACTGAGTCGATACACAAGTAATCCTAATCATAATCATTGGTTAGCAATGAAGAGAGTTTTGGGATACTTAGATGACACTCAAAACTATGCTTTACATTACAACAGATATCCAGCCGTTC